TGGGCGTGGCACATCTGGGTTGAACTACTAATTGTTTACATTTAGGGGAAGGGGCATATCTCGCAGAGGATACATTTGTTCAAAAAGGGATTAGGCACACAATTACCTCATCCTTTTGGCCAGTTTATGTTAACAGCTCAGTTGTTTCAGATTTATAGTTCCAAAAAAGGAACGGGTTTTAAAATTTCCATATTTTCAATTTTCGATTTTGACCTTTTTTGACTTTTGTTGACCTATATCTTTTGACCTGCATGATGTAGAAGCTTGAAATTTTGAACATAACATAACATTTTGAATATCAATTAACCTATGCAAAAAAAATTGAGGTGGGTTTGGCACATGCGGGTTAAATTACTCATTATTGACATTTTTGGCCAGAGGCATAACTCGCAAAAAAAACATATGTTCAAAATGGAACTTTGCTCACAATTACGTCCTCCTTTGAGCCACTTTGTATTAGAAGGTCAGTTAGTTCAGCTTCATAATTCAAAAAAAAGAACAGGTTTTGGAAATTCACAATTTTCAATTTTTGACCTTGACCTTTGATGATCTTGACCTTTATTAGGTCACAGGTCATTAACCTTTGCTATCAGTTGATGCTTTCATATTTGACCTCTGACGTCTACTTTTATAGCTGTCCAAAAAAAGCCAAATTCGCAAATTTGGACTGCTCTAGCTCGTGACCTAATTAACTTTGAGGGTAAATTTTTGTGGATTCTGAATGTGCTCATCATGCTCTTTCCAGTGATATATAATGCAAAATTGAAATTTCTGAATTTTTGAAATTTCTGTGTTTTTTTACAATATGTTAGCTTCTTTGAGCTGGGTGTATGTATTTCTTATGACCAATTTGCTGTAAAAGCTTGGAATTTGGAACACAATGAGACATATTCAATATAAATTGACTTATGACATAAAAGTTGAGGTGGCAGTGGCACATTAGGCTTAAATTACTTATTATTTACATTTTTATCAGGGCTATAACTTGTATAAAATACATTTGTTCAAAACAGGAGCTTGCACACAATTACCTCACCCCTTTGGACATTTTGTGTGAAAAGGTCAGTTGTTTCCGCTTCGTATTTCAAAAAAAGGAACAGGGTTTAAATTTTGCATATTTTCAACTTTTGACCTTTACCATTGATGACCTTGACCTTTGTAGGATCGAAGGTCATTGACCTTGGCTGAAGATTAATACCTTCATATTTGATGTTCATCGTCATCTTCCGGTTTTATAATGTTCGTATTTTTAAAGTTTGATGATTCATATCTAGTGACGTTGACCTTTAAAGACCTTCCCCTTAACATGGTCAAAGGTCATTGACCTTGGAAATCTAATCATACTTTCATATTTTATGTCTGGCTTCAATTCCGCTTTCACAACCTTCCAAAAAAGCGAAATTTTCCAAATTTTTTACTGCTTTAGCACGTGACCTAATTGTCTAAGAACATTGATTTTTTCAGATTCTCTAGCAAATTGGCACAAGAGCAAAGTCCCACTCAGTACCACGAGTGGTTCTAGTAGTTTAATTTGCAGTTATCAAGTTTTTAGGAGCTGGTGTTAATATGTTATTTGGATAATCGTGTAACCAATAGAATCCGCTTAAATTATTTGATGCCCACTTTTTTACTTTTTACTACCGAAAAATGCTTTAATTGCCAAACATGTGCAGGCCAAACAATTTAATCGTTTGCACCCAGGCTCCCTTATATGAAAGTCTGTATAACACTTGTATATTGAAAGGGTCCAAAATAATAGGGATAAAGGGACCATAACGTCAAATGCAGTTTTATTATTTTATAACGTCAAATGACATGTATATCACGCCAGATATTCTTGAGAGTTTTAGTGGAAGCTGCACATTTTTCTTCGCCAAAAAAGACCGTTGAATAACAAATAATGACAACCATTGGATTATAGGCTGTATGATAAATGTCAAGGGGGTATATAGACTAATGGCTTCCAAAATGATGCAGATATAATTGATATATTTATAAAAAATACTTTTTTGAGACTTACAAATTACCGGTTTACTAAATGTCAACACGGGAGACAATCCTTACTAATTAAACACTCAAGTCTAAGATTACTACACATAATACACACATTACGTTATACGATGAAAAACTTCATAAGCTTTACAGGCTACTAAGGCACAACAACCATTGACATCAAAACAACCACACGTATCACACGTGTAACGTATAAACAGGAACAAATGTTTTGTGGAAATAGCAAGTGTTCGGTCATATAAGGTCACACAACAATCATCTGTAGAGGTCAGCAGAATGCTGTTCCAGGTACATATCAACAATGATTACACACCAAATATTACATAATACAGTTTACTAGGGCTGCAACGATTCCTAAAGTGGCGATCCGATACACTGAACAATACTTGTTCAACGATACAATTTATTGCGATAATAAATCGCGATTCTTTGATTAAAAGGGAAAGAAAAAGAAAACTGACAATTAATAACATTTTAACATAGTTTAAATTATTTTGGCAGGCTTAGAAGTACAAAATTCACTTTTCATCATTTGTAACACACAAAGACTAAGAAATTTCTTCAAAAAAATGAATGAAATACCAAACCGATCGAATACAGCTTCGTGGAATTATATTATGACTATGCAAACACATATTACGTTGGAAAAAGAAAAAGCTTATATCGGATACCATGTGTTTATCCACTTGGCATATTAATGTGTCCTCTTTTCATTGTTTTTAACAAAAGTTAAAAATGCTGAAGACAAATTAATACGCGAAAAGCAATTTTTTAACATTTGAACATGAGAAAATTTCTAAAATGCACAAGGATTCCGTGCTATTAGTCATTAAATGGAGTTATTTATATTTATAAGAATCGGGCCGATGTATCGCGATTATTTTTTTTCTTCCACAATGCATCGATAAGAAGGAACGAATCACGGTTCATTAATTCAACAGTGAACCGTTGCAGCCCTACAGTTTACACAGCATCATTGGTGTATTCTAGTTAGTGACTCACTGTTTGCATACCGAGCAATTCATCCAACAATATACAGGTAATATTCCTTGATGTAAGTAGTACAACAGTATAAAAGTATATGATTACCAATACATAACTAAAATCCGTCCTCTACAGTTGTCTAACCAAAGGACAGTCTACTGGTTTTCCTGTCTGTACTAACACTGTCGACAATCATTCAACACTCTTTTATACATTTCATAGCATGTGCACTCACTCCATGTGCATACATTCAGAGTCTCTTACTTCCAGTCTCTCAAAGTAGTCCCCAGTTTCCTGGCCTTGAAAATAAAACTAAGACTATTAACTATCTGTGCTAAGGTGGAATTTTTTATGTTTCGTAAAAATCGTTTAGAGTACCCACGCTCTTTCAGTTTTGAGAAAACAATCGTACAGGCTTGGTTGAAATCAGAAGATCTTGTACAAATTCGATGAAATCGTAAAACTTGTGACTTAATTATACCAGAAAAGGTATGTTTTGGGTGAAAGGAGCTCTTGTGCAAGAGTTGATGAGTATCAGTTTCTTTGAAATACACTTTAATATCCAGTTTATTTGTTTCTGCTATGGAATCTCCCTTAAAGACTGTGGTATCGAGAAAGTCTATGCTTTTGTCACTCATGTTTGCGGTTAGTTTGATAGAAGGATGGTGGTTGTTGAGAATTTCAAAGAATTCCCAAAACTGTTCGATAGAATAAGTCCAAACCATAAAAATGTCATCCAAAAAGCGTCTGTAAAAAAGTGGGTCAAATGGACAGAGGGGCAACACCTCACGTTCCCACTCTGCCATGAAAAGGTTTGCGTACGAAGGGGCGAATCGTTTGCCCATTGCTGTCCCTGAAGTTTGTAAATATGTTTTACCATTAAATGTGAAATCGTTTCGACTAAGACAAATCTCTAAAAGCTGTAGAATTGCATCATCGGGTCTGTTTGGATCTGGGTTTCTATTAAAAGCTTTACGAACTGCCGTTAAACCAGTAGTGTTATCGATATTGGTATACATAGAAGAAACGTCGATAGAAATTAAAATGGCATTAGAGGGAACTCGAAGATTTTTTATTTTATTGACAAAATTGGTTGTGTCTTTAAGGTAGGCGCTATGTTGGCATGCTAGAGGTAGTAAGAAATGATCAATGTATTCTGACACTGCATATGACTCACTACCACAGTCAGATATAATCGGGCGGCCTTTAGGGATTTTATTCGAGATAAACCACTCCTTGGTTGGATTCTTATGGATTTTAGGCAAAGTGTACAAATGTCTCTCGCGACAATCAGGTTTGGCAGACAGATAGTCATATTGTTTCTGTTTGAGATAACTAGTTTTGACTAAATCGGCAAGAATATTATTAATCATGTTAGCAGTTTCTTTGAAAATTGGTTTCGGTAAAATGGCATAATGTTTAGGATTATTCAGTTGATTCTCTGCTTCTGAAACGTAATCCTCCCTATTCAGAATGACACAACATGAACCTTTGTCACTCTTTTTAATAACAATGCTATAGTCTTTCTTAAGTAAGTTTAAAGCTTCACGTTCCACTCGTGTGAGATTAGGCTTTTCGTGTGTTATGGAAAGGTTCATTGTTTTGCTATTCATACTCGCAAATGCTTTCAATATTTCAGGATGGATGGCGGCCTGAGGGGGTGTCCACGTGGATTTAGGAATAAACATTGTTCTAGCACC